GAGAGTTGGTCTTGCCTTGCAATACATGCAACATGTGTGCAATATGCCCATTAGCATTGTATAAATAGTCACTGTTCAACAGCGACAAACATGCACTGCATGAGTTGCACACTCGCAAAACAAGGACAGCCACGAGTGCGGAATGGTGCGGGTCATTCACGGTTGCATTAGGTATTGTCCAATGGGGCGGAACAGGCCACGACAGTGACTGCACGCCACAGAGCTCGGAAATGGACAAGGTCATTCACTGCTCGGCAGAACGGTCAGCAGAGAATGTCGCGACAAAAAGAAACGGACAGTCCGACAGTGCAATACAGCTTTGACAAAAGCAGCCAGATTCATAAATACGTAACACATTCCCTGATAAACATAACGCAGACCTCTGGGAGAAGTTCTACTGCTTACCTTGACTGAGCGGGGCAGGCTGGCAGGCACGGCAGGCGGTGGTGGCGCCACCTCCTGGTGGAATACAGAAACAATGGTTCATCCAACGCTGGACTAGTAGCGGGCCACCCACCGTCCGGCAAATCTATTCGTCGTATAACCCGCCATCAAACCAGCTAAAATCATTAGCTGAGAGCGAAACAGATCGTCGATAAAAACTATAGAATGATTCATAAAGCATTTCGAAAGTTTATAGGTCGTTTCAGCTCATGAGAAATACGAAAACCCGACTGCCAAGATCATTCTCTTGACTATCGACAATCAACATCGTCAATCCAGCCACGCTGATCACCCACCTCCTGGTTGAAGAGCTGCTCGCACAGCCGGTCCACATACTCGGTGGTATCGTCCAGGTGTCTGTGGCCCGCCTGGTGGTGGGTGGATCGGGTGGACACGGCTCCGGCGCGGCCGCCCGGCCCGGTCAGACGGGACAGGGCCGCTGTGACGTCCGGCGCCTGACCTGGTGACGAGAAGAGGTTGTTAGCTGACTGGAGGTGCCAGTACTGTATGTGACTCTGTATCAAACAAAGACTGGTGGTAGCCACTGGAATCGCGACTTGACAACAAATATAAGCCAAAGCTCATGGAAAACGTCAAGCGAATGTCGATCAAAATACCGTACTAGCATACCGTGCTATTTACATATCACCATCGTCAAATACCTCTAATCATCTTTGGTACCTACATAAATCATCTGTTAGCAAAAAATAACTTCCACAGGACCACAACCGTACGAGCCGACCGCACGGGTGCACATAAAATATCGGGCCCACATCCCGTTCACACTATCCTGCGGTTCACTAACCCTGCGGTGGTGTGTCGATTATGGCGCGGCCCACGAGATCTTCAAAGGTGTCCCTCCGGTGACAGAACATCCACACGTCCTTCAGGCACAGTCCGAGCAGTCCCACCGCACGCGCTGTGGGGAGAGAGAGAGAGCAGAGCAGACGTCGCGCGGGGTTAGAACTTGGAGAAGACAGTGGTCAATTATTTATTGTTTATTGTCACAGTAGCAAACCAGATCCGCATAAAATGGGCTATTCCCTGGTCGTTGTCAGTAAACACTTCATAACGAACAACACACAACACTGTTAAAATCAAATACTGCGACACCTGATAAAACAGCTAAAAATCACCTTCTCCGAGCTATGATCATTGTAATCTAGAAAGCTTTAGGTGCTTTTTGAATTGGCTCAGCGTAAGTCTGTCTGCACCCTCGGCTATAACAAGCTTATTGTACAGTGTAACAGATCGGTAAATAAAAGTACGCTTTCCATGATTCGTTTTTATACGTGGCAAGCTAAGATAGTTCGATGTGCGCGTGTCACGTAACGTTCTGTCGCGATTAGTGTGAAGGTACTGAGCTATTGAATCCGGCTGTCCTGTTCCCCAGATCTTGTGCAGAAGGCACAGGTCCGAGTAATTGACGAGCTTTTGGGCCGGTAGCCAGCCCAATGAATCGATACAATCAGAAATGTGGTCATATTTTCGTCTTCCTGATACTACTCTTGCTGCGAAATTTATAACTTTTTGCAACTTGGCAATTCGCCCAGCGTTGGCACTTCCATAAACCTGAATGCAATAGCGCACGTGTGACAGAACTATTGCATCAACAATTCGAGGCAAGAGATGATGCGGAAGAAGGTGGCGGGCGCTGGCTAGACCTATTCAATGGCCGTACTAGGGGAAAAGTCAGTGTAAACTACGCCAAAGTTCATACCACTCGCTGTGATCCCTGGTTCAGACCCATCGCATCTTTATCACATCCCACCTCAAAGTTACTCACTCCTCCATTGATATCAAGCTCAGAGTACTGCCCCGACACATATCTGACCTGCGGGCCGTGCGCGGACCCTCCAGAGGGGCGCGTGGCGCGGATTCAGCTGGCTGTAAGAGTCCTCCACCAGTAGCGTCTCGGCCACCTGGTGCCAGCAGGCCATCAGGTCCAGGCCGCTGCCGATGAAAAAAGACACGTCAGAGGAGAATATTCCGGCAAGGTTACGTTCGCAGATAGCTCTAGGTTACGTTTGAGAGAAACGGTAGACTCAGAACGGAGCAGCGCGATGCATACTGCGGTCACGTGCAATGCGTGCCGCATACAACAAACCATGGCGGCAGCCACGCTCAAAGACAATTGAAAGAAGGCGAGGAACAAGCGTTTGTGCATTTATGTTAGCCCGCATGTACATACATAATATGTGAATAGGCATAATAATTAAAAGTAAAAGTAAAATCGCAGAAAATTATCATGGGCAGCCAGGCTGCATCTGCGGTCTCCTGAGAGGCTGCAAGCCCAGTTAGCCACGTCATTAAGCTAACCCTAAAGCTCTTCATCACCCTACCCAACCCCACCCACTCACGCCAGCGGCTCGAGTCCCTCAGCAGCGTCCAGCGGCAGCGCAGTCTCTCCGTCCAGGTCAGGCAGCACGGCCTCCAGCTCAGCCGGGTCCGGTGCCTCTCCGCAGTAGGTCAGCGGTCCAAAGTCGTCCACCGTGTACTGCAGACGGAGGGAGACCGACACGGCCGGTACCGCGCGGCTGGATAGCTTCTGCTTGAACAGGTCCAGCAGGCCTGCAAGGGGATGGAAAGGGATGGCTGGTCAGGGGGAAACAGAGCGAGGTTTGAGAGAAAGGGAGTGCGCAAATGTCGCAAATGTTCAGCTTCCTCGGTAGTTAATGACAGCTTGGCCCATACTAAAATCCCTCGTTCGACTTACCGGAAAGGTAGTAGAGATGCGACGGGGCGCGCTTCAGCAGAATCGTGTGGAACTCCACCAGAACACCTTCTCCCACGCAGGTGCCCATGAAGTACTGCATCGCCAGCCGGTGCACCTGAACGAACATCGGAATGTCCCTGCCGAGCAGAGATCGGTCTCCGGTCAAAAGACGACTAATTCATCGATGTTGTCATTCACTCTTATTTCCACCGGGCAATTTGTGCCCGTTTATATTTCGCACGAGGATTCTTGCTCGTTCTCGTCTCCTAAGCAGCGACAGTTGCGAGAGCATCTTGCTTCCCTCCCTCCCTCCCTAGTGGCGCAGCTGAGGACGAAAGTCGATAGATCGGGCATAATAACGATTATGAACAATATGCTTTATGGTGAAAAAAATAGCATTTTCACAAATAATACTACCGTCTGCCACACAATCAGCGTGAAAAAACTTACACCTCATCACATACCTTGAGAGTTGAGACAAGGTTCCACACATATGAATCCCTCTGGCTACCCCTCCCTTTACCCTGCCCTCCCAAAGCTCCTCGTCCCGACACCCACCAGGCAGCCTCTCGCAGTGCCATGTGCAGCGAGCTCAGCAGGATGCGCGCCTTGCTCTCGCTGTTGACGCCCGGCTCGGCGCTGGGACGCACTGTGATGAACCTCCGCACGCCAAACGCCTCCGCCACCGGGTGCGCCGCCGCGCCGGGCCGAAAGTCGGCGGCGGCTGAGCGCAGTTCGTCCAGCGCCGGCGGCAGACGCTCCGGCTCGTCATCACTGTCCTCTCCGGACCGTGGGGACGCCGGCGGAGCGCCCGAGGGGACGGAGGGGTCGGCAGAGGGGGCCGAGGGCACGCTGGAGCGACGCTCCGCTCGGCCGGGAAGGTCGACGAATGTTACGATGAAGCGGCAACCTGTAAAGCCAGGGGGCGTGGCACGTCAGTGTAGGAAAAAATCCTTATTTAAACATTGAAATGTTGGGCTATATGCCTCTTGACCTCCAAAACTACCATGATTTCTGCAAAATAGCCAGTAAATCTTCTTCTTTGGAAACATAAATCCTCCAAAATCACATCATGACAGAATAGTTATGCATCAATCCAAACACAAAAGATGCAATGCTCAGAAAGTGGATCTTGTTCACCAGTGTCACTGTCACCACACAGCAGCATCCTCTCCTGCTCCTAACAGATCCTTACCAGCAAAATCGACCTCAGATTGTTGCAGGGTGGGCCGGGAAGGTGTTGCTGTAGGTGTCTCCTTTCCTTCAGGAGCTGTGAGAGGCTCCTTGTCAGCCTTCCACTCATGCAGGAGTTCAGTGACAGAACCAATGAACCGCTCCCAGTCCGAAGCAGAGGTGAAATCAGTGATTTCAAACACCTCTCCCTCACCATCCTGTGGATGTGACGTGGGTCATGGCATAGAATAAATGCAGGGATGGTAGCAGAAGAGAGATTATTACATGTTATGCCAATCATAGACCAAATAATCAAAAAGTATCCAGCATCTTCCATTTCATACCTACCTACTACTTTCAACTGCTTCACTCACCTCAGCATCACACATTGTAGAAGGCCTTGGAGGTTTTCAGTATTTTATCGTCCTAGCTCCCAGGAAATAAGTGGTGCGCAAGCAGGCTCGCTGAAGCTCGTTGTGTCTTGCACTTCTGTGATCTATGTCTTTGTTATGATCGGTACCCATCCCCAAAAAACAGATGTTTGAGTGCGCCATGTATGAAACATATCATCAGAAACTGTCTCAAATCAAGGTGATTGGTATCAGCCTCTAAATGAATACCGAGTTTTCATTGGCTTATTTCTGCCATCAATGCAAATGACGTCAAAGAAACACAAATACAAGAATTTGATTCGCCAAAGTAAAATGACGTCATAGAAAAAGCGTATGGTTGTTTCTTTCAAGGAATATAAACATCGCTTATGTTTTGCTTTTGTGTCATCACTGAAGTTGTTTTGTGAAGGGGGCTGAGCGGAGGATGGTTTTGTACTGTTATTGGCAAATTTAATTAGAAAGACGTGTCCGTTCTTGTACTAGCTGGGCTACGCTTTATCACAGACTCAAAAATGAATGGAAATGGAACACTCAAGTTATACTATCATCCCTTATCATTCTACTCTCACCGGGTAAGCTAAGAAAATGAATTAACTGATCATGATCAAAAGCTACTGTATTGCCTAGTGTGAGCGCGGACTTCACCCAGCAATGATTTCCAATTACATGTAAAAGATGTTGTAATAATAGGTATACAAAACTAAAAAGATGTTAGGTATGCGACAATGATCATGAATTCATGAATTAATTCTTCCGAGTTTATATTCTTGTTATCAAATTTTATGTGGCAGCAATGCAATGATCAGGTCTGTATGTGCTTAATATTTTCTCATAATGACAGCAGGTGCAGTGCACCTCATCACTACTATGAACAACATAATATCAATTTATGTTATCTCTTCACCCCTCTGACATCAGTTACTACCTCGCTATGCTGATGCCGCAGGTGCTCTTCACTCTTCTAGAGAAGGGTCTGCACTTCAAGCCTGTGGTTGTTGACTTGATGGCAGCTGAACAGTACCAGCCAGAGTACCTGCGCCTGAACCCCAACGGCGCAGTGCCCACTCTGCAGGATGGTGTCAAGGTGTTCCCCGACTCGTCTCTCATCATGGAGTACTTGGAGGACAACTTCAGTGGAGGTCAGTCACAGCTACAGCCTGGAATATGCCTGGAAGTTTGACTGGGGTGGTCAGTTGAATACTTGTGGAAATAAGATGTGATACTTTGCTTTGGGTCACAAGGAAAAGGGTGGGGTAACAAAAAAAAAGTTGGCTGATTACCTAATTTATTCCTTCTGAAACACACAACACATGCAATTGCACTGTCATATTTAGGTTAGTTTGCCAATATGTAACGACTGTACCGTTAATAGCTGAAAAGGTCAGCATGGATCATCATATATCGATATATTGTTCGTTGATCACTCGCTAAAAATAATTGACGTCGATCTCGGGTATCCAGGAAAATACCCGCGTCTGATGCCATCCGACAAGAGCTCCGAGATGTACCGCAAGGTGCAGGAGTTCACGGAGGCGTTCTCCAGCCTCAACATCCCGGTGTTCAGCTACGGCACGATGCACAACGAGGAGCTGAGGAAGAACGTCCGTCTGCCGCAGCTGGTGCTGCGCGCCCGCGTCCAGGGTGAGACAACGGGCGGGAGGGGTGAAAGGGTGAGACGAGTGAGGTGAAGGGGTGAGACGGATGGTGATACTGGAGCATTGGTGCGCGGTTGGCTGGATGGTGGGAATGTGATTTATTTTTTCCGAGGTTGTATGAATTACGTATGTACGTGGATGTAGTTTGATGATGCGGTCTTGTGTTTGAAGAAATAGGAGCTTCCCAATGAATTTTCCGACATAAACCAAGAAAGGGTACCCATAAAAACGTTTATAGCGTATGATATATCATTAGCGCACCTGTATGAAGTTTCACCACCATCCCCACCTGTCTCCGGCAGCCACCTCGTCGATGGACAATCTGCAGGCGGTGGTGGACCGCGCCATGTCAGCGGTGCCTGAGGCGCGGCCCGAGCTCGAGAAGAAGCTCGAGTTTTTCGCCGGCTTCACGGCCGACATACGGAACCCGGAGCGGTACGGGGAGGCGGTCCGGGGCGTGGAGGTGTACCTGCAGAGGGTTGAGGACGAGCTCATCACACATGTTGGAGGTGAGCCGAGAGAGGGAGAGAGAGTCGTGCGAGAGAGGGAGGTGCCCCAATGGGAGGGCTAAGGGATGGTTATGTTAGATTTAAAATATTGGCTGTTAACGTATGTGTGTTATATGTCTTTGGCTAATCCTCGATCAGTAAGTGAGTCGGCAAATGTATTATGTAATTCGTAGCCCGTCCTTTTTGTTTATTTATCGATACATCTCTCTCCTTCCCTAGTCGAATGGACTTGTGGCATATGACAAGCGCCAGGCTGGTACATCTGACTCTATGGATACGCTGTTTGATGGCTAACCCCGCCGTGGTTTCAGACCGTGTCAACTGGTGGCTGTGCGGGCCCAGTTTCACACTGGCCGATATCGACCTTTGCGTGCTGCTGAACCGTATCTGGCTGCTGGGACTGGAGGAGCGGCTGGTGACGCGGTGTCGGCCTCACCTGACCACCTACCTGCGGCGCGCGCAGCAGCGGAAGGCCTTCCAGCGCGTGGCGGCCGTGCCGCTGCGGCTGCGAGCGCTGATGGCGGCCGAGCGGGCGGCCACATACCTGCCGTTGGCCATTGGCGTGGGCGCCGTCCTGGCGGCCGTCTTCGGAGTCTATAGTGCGCGCCGAGCGTCATAGATGGCAGGCGAGTCGGCTGTAGTTCACGGGAGGGCACGGGTGCGGCGATAAAAGGGAGATGGGGAGATGAGAACGTCCGTTTGAATGCTAGGTGGGAAGGGCTGGAGAATTCCACTCATCAGGGCAGAAGTTCAGTGGGGACCGTGGCTGGGACTGGTTAGTATAGAATCGTACTAATTTGTTGATAGTTCGTTCTTCAGTTCCCGCTGTATGACGCCAATAAGACTGCTTGTGATACAAGAGCATGCGACTGTGATGACGAGAATGGCTATGACATCGGAGTAGTGGTCTTCCATCGAATGGTGAGTGCGAGTGTGATCGATGCTTCTTTTCGTCTTCGGCAGATTCCGGTTTCTAGAATCTCTCGAGACTGCTTCCGTGAAGCCGAGCTAGAATAGCGTTGGACTTGTGCGTTTATTTTGCTGCACTGCATCTCTGTGCAATAAATCGATCTATTTTGTGACTCAGTCTTGATTTCTGTCTACGGAGTGTGGGAATTGATCATATGAATTTTGGAAGACTACGAGAATTCAACGTCTATGATTGGTGTCGTTTCACTTTACTGACGGAGTTTATATGTATGGAAGATTTTATCATGTATTTTTTGCACCTTACTCGTATTGAGTCGTGAGGATCTTGGTTTGCTGAGAAAGTAGATCGGCTTAAGTCATTTTAATAATATTTCCGCGTATTTACTTTCGTTGAAGCCTTCATGAAATTGAAGTCTCAAATGATGTGTCGAATTGCCGTTAAGTTCCTTTCACCTGAGCGTTTGACCATCATCTCGTCATTGAAACATAACCTGCCGAAACTTCACGGCTTCATTGTCCACAGGCTTCTTTGCTGAAAGGCTTCCCAGCTGACGCCTTTGACGCGCTAAAGGCTTCGTTTCTCAGCTGTCTGCTCTCATACCTGTCGGCTCCCTCGTCCGCCGGGCGTTGAGTACACTGTAGGGAGTACTTGTGTTTTATTGTTGGGTGTTGATCCTAATTATATCCCAGCTAAAACCCTACATACACCCAGCAGCTCGTCTGGTGCCTTCTGGGAGTATGTTAGTGGTGTTGACTGGTGATCGGGTGTCGGGATTCGACCAATCTGGTAGAAATATCAGATAACACCCCTGGGCGCGAGTCGTACCGTAAAACAGTCTGAAGGAGCTATCTTGGTTCACTGACCGCTTTACTTCTTGGCAGTGTATGTGTTGTGACTTGTGACCCTGACATTACGGTTACAAGCAAGTATGATTGTAGAATGGATGAGATAAAATCGAATTCAATATCCTTCCAACACGTACTTTCGTACATTCGTTCTTATTATTGCTTCTCTCCCGGCCTAGTAACTTCGGTTCTTTCTCTTCCCTCATTTCCCTTCAACCCTCTCTCAGCACCCACTTATCTCTCCCGTCTCCGCGCTGCTGCGTTCCCCCGTCTCCCGCTCGGTCGCAATGTCGCAGGACAGATCAGCACAGTCAGCGCGCTGCCCGCTGACCGTGAACTGCAGCGCTGAGCGGCATCGGCGCGGTGTCAGCAGGCCCGGAGGCAGGCGGAGCTCTGCCCGCCGGGGGTGGCCACTCGGCCAAGGCGTGGCTCGGAGGATTGCCGCAGGCGGTTAGGGTCGATAGCGGGATCACTGGGAATTGAGTGGAGGAGCTGCTCAAGGTCTGATGTGCTGAGGTCGGCCTTTCAATTGGTTCGTGTTCACTTCTGTATGAAACCGTTCAATTTAGTCGCGCTGTTTAGTTAGTACAAATAAAAGTTCAATTTTGGCCTTAGTCATCACATGTATTGGTGTCGCTAAGTGTATTGATTTTATGAACAAAAAAAAAATGAATATCTGAGGTATTAATCAGTTGTCACCGTCTGGTCTTCAGTCAGCCAAACATCGCACCAACATTATGTGAACTGTGAACTAAGTGAAAACATCAACTCCAGCTGTGTCACTGTGGACCGCCTTGGGGCGGCTCAGACGGCTCTCAGTACACACAGCCCGCCACTCGGACACAGTTCGTGATTCACGGCGGCGAGCGACGGCACGCGATCTGCGCCCGGCCGGCCGGCGGTCTCTCGGGCGGCGTCTGCCGACCTTCCGGCGGCTCCGTGGCGTGACCGGTCGGCCGGCAGGCCGGATTTCCGGCCTGGGATGACGACTGAGCCGCCGCCGTATTGATTTCAGGACGGCGACGCGGCTGCTAGAGTCGCTCTCTCAGGCCCGGTCGCCGCAGACTTCACGCCGCTTCCGCTGGTTCCCTTGCCGCGAGCATTGTCTCCCTGAGTCGTATCTCCGATGAATTCGCAGTTCCTTTGTTGGCTCCGTATCACCGATTTGTCGTTCCTATGCGAGCAACCAGCACCTTTGCGCCTCTATCCTCTCCAGTGCCGCCACAGTCCACAGCGCCTGACGTACTTTGAAGTGTGCTGTGCAACATCCATACCATCCTAGAGCTGTTAAGAGGTAACGCACTGGACCAAGGGCCCCTCCCCAAGAAAACATCACTGTGAAGTGTGAGTGTGGCCGCTCCAGTCTAACAGAGACGCAGTTTTCACGGAAACTTTTTTTGCTAGTTACATAACACAGAACATAACTCAGGTGGCCTGGGGCTTGTTGGATGCGCTACGTAGTGTGTATTGTTGTGTAAGCGTATCGTCTTGCTAGGTCATGGTCTACGTCGCATTCTACATATATGTGGCAGAACATTGTGCGATGTGGGGTAACGAACGACGAACTTCTAACTGACCAGAGACGATGAAGCGGTGGAGTTGAGCCGCCATTGGCCGGAGCCGCGGCTGGGAAGGATTGATTGGGCTGGATTTACGGTCTCCCAGTGATTAACTGACGGGTAACGGCCGTAGCCAGGCGAGAATGGTCGTAATGGTGAGCTGTCAATGCGGCCGTCTTAGGTCAGTAAAAGTTCGCGAATTAAGGTCACGGTCCTCTATCTTTTTATCGCAGTAATGCAACTTGGGAGGATTCTTGGTTTTCATGTTAGTCCATTTGATTGGCTCATTTTTTCTTCTCATTTAAAGGGACACTCCCACCTTAACATTAGTTTTGAGTTGAGATAGCCAAATTGGTGGCCATGGCCTGCAAATACCGGTTTGGGCACTCACAACATCGACAAATGCTTTAATTCGGAGATATGGAATTTCAAACTTGCAGTTTTCGGATTCTAAGGGGCTAGTGCATTGGTATGCCCCCTTAGAATTTGTGACGTCAGCGGAGATCTAACGATTTTTAAATCTTTTACTAAAACGTTTGGTAGCGCGCATTGGTATATGCTGCTTTGCGCGCAACAAATGCCGCACTTTCAAATAAAGTCGCTAGGAACAGCGGAGATCCCAAAAAGTAAACAAAAGTAAAAGTCTAATATCTTGAAAACCGGTGAATATTTTTCGATGAAATTTGGTAGATAATCGTTTTCGCTCTTTCTGAACCGAGCGACATCACTTTCGTGCCAATTCATTAACTTTTTTGAAGGTGGGAGGGTCCCTTTAAAGTAGGCCTTTAAAGTCGCTTATGTGTAGCGAAAGGATTAGGTTGAGGAGCGTAGTTGAACCGATTTTGCGATTTTATTGAAACGTCTACCCTTTGCCGCCCTTTCTCTCTAATATCCAGCCACATTGGGCTGTTCTCTCGTCTGGGGACTCCACCGACTCAGCCCTTTGTCTTTCATTCGTATATACGATTTCTCTGCGGGCCTGAGAAGCGGGTCCCATCGGAGCTGGGTAGTCGTGTTTGCGGCTGACGCCCTGCCGCTCGTTATCGAGCTGCGGAGCCCTGACGTGATTGTTTGATGATGTTTGATGGCTACTCGAGTGAGAGAGACGCCCAGCCGGGCATTCAGTGGATGAATGGCGCCCCTCTCGGCGCACTATTGCCGCCGCAGGGTTTCATTTTGACACAACTCGGTGGTGACGAACGGCTTGTCTCTCTTTGAAGTTATGCCTTTGTTCGTAATGGGCGCCACTTGCGCTATGTGCACCCTGAAATGTCCAATAATTATTAAATTTCTGAGCTTTTGTAGCCACGGCCCAGGTCAACCTCGGCCTGCTCTTAAAGATGAAGCGTGTTCGTTAAAAAAATAAAGCGATATCGTTTCATTCGTATCAGAATTCTGCCGCAGTATCCGAGGACATCAAGTGGCTGTGGATCGCCTCTTCAAGATCCACTCAGTTCCTGCAATCTCAGCCGAACTGAAAAACAATGCCAGCGCTGACAAGGCCCGCGGCCCGACCGCCTCTCCGGTCCCCGCACGCGCTGAGCTGTCCCATTTCATTCTGCCGCCTCTGGGCGGCTGGCGGGCCGCTCAGCTGACGGGCCGCGGGCGGGGGCGGGGGCGGCCGACGCGCGCCGTCGCCCGGCCGCCGGCGGCCGTCCCCAATCGATACGGGCCCAGTGGAGCTCCGACGGTCGGCTGTGACGCCTTGACGGGGACGGTGCGGGCGGCGCGGGGCGGTGACAGGTGCAGTGGTGCTGCCGGAGTGCTCCGCGGTCGTCACGGGGCCGGTCTCGCCTGTAGGCGGAGATGGAGGCGCGGTTACTGGTGCTGGCCGCCGCAGGACTGGCGGCCGGAGTGCCGGGTGCCGCCTCCTTCGTATACAGCAAAGGTGAGACAGTGTGGCCTCCACGGCAGCCCTCCATACATTGGTCATACATCGGTTCGCCCCTATCCGCCCCTGCGTGACCTCACCGAGAGTGTGCTCGTTGGCCCACTCTGCCGTGCCCCAGAATGACACACCGTATTGATTTACTGATCCCGTGACAGTGACGCACATCGATGCCAAGCTGCGTGGGGCCGCGCTCTTTGGCAGTACCTGTCGTTATCTCCTTCCACTACGCGTGGCGCGGACCGATGCACGGGCCGACGCTCGGAAACGATGGTTTGTTTTCGGTGCTGCCACCCCTGCCCCTCTCCGCCCTCTCCCCCGCTCTGTCGCCGGCGCGGGCCGTCTCGCTCTGTTTATCTGAGACCGACCAGGCGGGCCTCGCCGACCGTGTATCCACTCGCTCTCCCGCTCTCTCCTCGTCTCCCCTACTCTGTCCCAGTCGTCACTGGCCTTAGTCCTCTGGAGCAGCCGTCCGGGGATAAGAACTAGGAATGTCGTTGTTTTGACTTTCGACCATGGCCACTGATAAAGTCGAACTAAGTGATCTAATGTTTTTCTCATGTTATCGTCTAGTTCCGTCACCGTGATGTTCTGAGTAATCGGTCGAGTGCATTCGATTCGAGTCGATCCAGTCAGTGCCTTTCTCCATGCCTAAGCTCACATTTTTATGCGAGCATACATATATTTTCGATATTTTCCATCGATTGACCCCGGATTCGTGCGTTCAGTGCTCAATCTCCGTCACCGTCACTGTTATGCACAGACTTGTATTCATGGTAGTTATTTTGGTCAAACTAATCTTTCGGGTAAATACCGCCGCCCAAGTGGTGATTAGCCTGTCACTCCCTTCACTTTGACGGCGTTTTGACAGATGAATGCGAAACACGCTAATTGCTGAACAGATTTATGACGCCACCCTTGACGTTTCGTAGAAGTAACTCGTAAGATATTAGATATACCTATACGTGCAACCTAAGTTTCACAAACCGTTTTGTGGCAGTGGTCCGATCATAGAATATCAATGTTTAGGTCCCAAGTAAAAATCCGCCATTTACGTCTCATGCATCTCATCACCTTATCAATCGCTTTATGTGTTTTAAAACAATCGTTCAGTTTGGGTGGCTATGGTGAGGATTTTTTTTTTTTTGATGAATTGAGGTCACTTAACGTGACCTGGTGACTCGATCTTGGTTTACCTGAGAGTAAAATTTCATATCATAAGGGCAAGATACATAACAAGGTGCACTAAAATCGGCGAGACATCAGACATTAACAGAACAACTGGTGGGGCGTAAAGCGCCTCTCCTCCACCTATGTACCAGACGACGGGTGAATGTGGGCGAAGGGTTTGGACGCTTCTGCTGTAAAATCAAGTCTGAGCACTGAACAGGCACTGCCCGTGCGTTCCTCGATGACTCGAGGCTATCAAATTATACGGTGACTGAAAACGGAGCGCCCCTGATGGCTCAACCTCAAATGCCGTCCCGTTTAGTAGGTCAGCAGCTACGGTTTCTCGAACATTGAGCTGAAGCCACTGGGCTCCTTTCTGCTAAGTTGCCCCTCATGCAGGCTCTTGCACCAACTTTTACACATAAGCTAAGCTGCTGAAGCGCTGAGGCCATTAACCCGCGCCCTGGTGGGGTCTGTTTATAACGCGACCTGGTGGGGGGGGGGGCTATTTTTTGCCCCCCCTCGTATCTCCGAAACTACTGGACGGATCCGCACAATTCAAACGGCGTTCGAAAGGCCTGTCAAATTTGTCGAAGGAAACCAAATTTCATTGACCTCAGGGTCACCGATGACGTCACAGGTCAGGTCAAAGATGAACTGTTTCACCGTTCACGGGTCTGCTAAGGAATGCGCTATAACACCGAGGAAAACGCATTTTGTCGATAATCAGCGATAGGGCGTCAGTTGCCTAGTAGATATGCATGCTATTAGAGGTCACTGACAATACCAGGTCAGGTCACAGGTCAGGTCACCAAGGGTCACAGGTCAGGTCACATGAGCCCAACTTTACTAAGGTTGTGTGATGCATGTTTTATGGCCAATTTTTCATTTCCAACTCAATGGTGTTGGTTATAAGACTATCAGGTACGGCTTAGGTCACTTTCTGGTGAAGTTCAGGTCAAGGTCAGGTCAAGGTTAGGCCAAAAAAGGTCAAATTTTAAAGTTGATAGTTTTGCATAAAATGGGTATTGATTCGATGCAGCTCGTCACGGGGAGTCTAATGGTGGTCTTTGTTTTGCGCTACGGGGTCTAGAATTGCTAAAAATTGAGTTTAAAAATTTAACGTCATCAATTTTGAACAGTTTTTTCGCTATAACTTCGCCAAAAAAAGAGGTATCAATCTCAAATTTGGTATGTAGATGGAAGGCAGTAAGTACTATCACATATATCCCGGTTTTTGCGAAATTCAAAAAACTTTTTAAATTTTTCGATAATTATATCCAAAAAAAATATTTTTTGATTTTTGGGGGTCCAAATCCAAAAATTTCAAAAATCCGAGATAGCAGTTTTGTAGCCCTGTTGATTCTACAGCTTTTATGTTTTTATCATTTTTCCGTATTTGCAAAGCTATAGGCCTGACAGCTCTTCCCGCGAAACCCTTTTTTGGGTCGAAAACGGCAGAACATGACGTCACTCTGACGTCATTTCCGGCCAACCTATCATAGCCTTTGGAAAAATTTTTGGTCACAATGTGTAAAATTGATGTCCGGGAGGGTACTGAAGGTTTGGTGACGATCGGCGCAGCGGTTCTGGAGATATATCGAAAAGTCTAGAGGGGGCAAAAAATAGCCCCCCCCCCCCCACCAGGTCGCGGGTTAAAGTGCAGCTGTGACTCTAGAACCCTCGTCATTTTGAACGTCATTGTTCAGAAAGCTTGTGCTTACGGATAACTCAAGGAAAATTTCAAATAAGCAAGTGGGGTTTGTCGGTCGGCTGAGTTCTGAGCCAACTGGGGCAGTCCCGTTCCAGGAAGCTATCGCACCGGGCGTCCGGTCGCCGGTCGAGCTATCGCACGGCTTCGCTCAGGATGTCGCCGGTGGGGTTATCGCACGGCTTTGCTCAGGGGTGGCCGTTACGAGTATAACTCCTTATCCACAGTTTGCAGACGGTGCCATGTGTCTGGCTGTGGCTTAGTTTCTTAAGGGCGCGCTTTGAGTCTCGTTCAGCGAATTTTCCGTAGCGACCAGCGTCAGTTTTCATTTGAGGCGCTCCATGGCGCAGGCTGCAGCATTATGAGCCGAGATATTAGCTAATCGATCTGAAGTCGTTTGATACGGGCTAGTTATGAGCGAGTAACGGGTGAGTGACCTTTGATAGCTTGGCCTTGCGACGGTGACCGCTGGTTATCGCTCTTATTACTTTGTTTTGTTAGTTTATTAAAAAGCTTCAAAGGCTGTTGCGAATCTATAGGTATGGCACACACGTGATGCGCATTAGCAAGGAGAACCATTGCACGTTTCTTCCTTTGTCGTGTGTGGCGTTCAGTTGTCCGTTTGAGGGCATTGTCTCCGACTGGTTGTTGTATCTTCAATTTCATTGTTCATATCTTTTTATAGCCCGTGCGCCTATAAATTGAATTCACCCAAACACTTTCGAGCTAACGAAAGCAAGCTAAAAATATCTCGCCGCCACTAACCTATTACGATTTTCGGCGACTGTGAGCGATCGAACAAACAAGTTTTCCCTCTTCTCGACAGACCGGAGACCAGAATAGCACTGTCGCTACCACTGAAATATTTCAAACTTTACTTTACCCAGCTACCTGTAAAAGGACAGAGTGAGTCCTATTAAGTTCCTTGACACCGCCAAACTTTCTGCATGGCAACGTTAGCGGTATCCCGTCCAGGCCGGAGGAGGAGGAGGCCTTCAACACGGGTGCCACTCTCTTCGTCTAGCATCATCCTTCAACACAAGCGGTGGAGCCCGTGGAGGCTGCAGTAGCGACAGGGGGGAGGGACGGAGGAGACAGAAGTGGTGACGATTGAGGGTCATCAGAATTCCGAACACCCGTGTCGTGCTGTGATCGAACGTCTCTGCAGGCGCTCGGGTGGAGAAAACGGTAAATTGGTGTCCGGATAGCCGGGAAATACCGAACAGTGAACACTGGGCCTGCAGTAGTCGTAGATTTGTTTCAGTAGCGGCTATTCTCCCAGCACTGGCCAGGCATTGCAGCGCACATGCTTTGCTTCATTGCTTTGACTAGCAGTCGGAAGTACGCATGAGCATACATACAGGTTATTCTTTGGATAAGACAATATGTTATTGTTTCGGAGCAGAGTGATATAGCAAACAAACCATACCTATCTAAGGAGTATACTTTATGTTTTCGTCAATAATAGATATTTCGACGCAGCACGAATCGAAAATATTTAGGATTTGGGCTTTAGTTTACAGTTTGTTTAGATTTTTCCGTCAGAAATTGGCACTGTTGCCAGAGATCCATTTATCCTGTCCGGTGCAACTTGGCCGCTCGGCGCACAACTGTTACCACGTCCAATCGCGCGGAGAAGAAACAAAGACCCGTCCCGCCGCGAGCCAAAGTCATCGCTCCTACCGAGCCCCGCTGGTAATCAATGCGGACCGAGTCGCCGGTCTGGCCGACAGCACGGCGCGCATAACTGACAGCTGCTGCCGGTCTGCCGTTGAGTCATCGTGACACGAAGGGACGGTCCGGAGCGGGCGACTCGAACGGCAGGCTGACGAGCGGGCGGGCGGGGATATTGATTATGCCGTGTTTCAGTGGCAGCATTACGACGATGACGTGAGCGAGTTCCCGATAGCAGCACAGCACTACCAGCTTCAACTGTTGTGGACACTAGAAAGACACGGTCCGGAGCGAGTCTGAACTGAAGACGCAGCGCGGGGTGGTTTTCATAGACGGCATCCTGCGTTGCGTCTTCCTCAAACGTGCTTTGTATGTTAATTAGTGCTACTAACATAGCTCCACCGCAATTCGAGTAAATGGCGACCGAAATGGCCGCCCGTGTGGCTAATATCTGGAACTGTTTGCTCGACGGAGACCGACGAGGAGCAGGCCACGCCAGCCATGGAGCTGAGAAACAAGCTAACTGGAAAACGCTGCTACACCGTCCCGGTCTCGCGGTGACAAACAAAGAGGTCGACCAGCCCAGCTGCGTTCGATTTTTCGTCGGGAAAGGACCCATGGGAGTTGAACTTTGTGTTTCGGATGTATGCGCCATAAATCGGACCTGTCAAGAAGAGGTCCAGAATTTCAATTATCGTGTCATTCAAGCACTCAGTGTGGCACCTCGAGGTTGGTTCAATGGGCATTTTGTGTGATTTATGGTCGCTAATAACACCTGGTGCCGCTATATATGGTGTTGGAAAGACACAGAAACCTCATCGCCCAACTGCGCATTGGACATACATTATAATGATGGTACCTGCCAGCTAATAGGAATACAAACATTGGGTCACAATAGGCAACCATTAATTAAGGAAGTTCTAAAGGGCCCTGCTTCAGTGGTTGCTGAAATGGTGCAGTTTTTTTGTCAATAGGCTGCATTGAAAATAACCTACGTGCAACACGATAAAATATTTTTGTGGGGTTCCCCAATCGTCTGTCTGTGTCGGTGCAATAAACCGTGCCACAGCCCTTTTTTATCGTCAATTGTGGACTGTGACGCATGATGTGCCTGTGAGGTAGGCTGTGCCGCAGTACATCCCTGATCCTCTGTGATAGGCTGTACCGCAATCCATGCCTGTATGGTAGGCTGTACCGCAATGCGTGCCTGTGTGGTAGGCTGTACCGCAATACATGCCTGTGTGGTAGGCTGTGCCGCAATACATGCCTGTGTGGTAGGCTGTACCGCAATACATGCCTGCGTGGTAGGCTGTGCCGCAATACATCCCTGATCCCCTGTGATAGGCTGTGCCGCAATACATGCCTGTTTGGTAGGCTGTACCTCAGTACATGCCTGTGTGGTAGGCTGTGCAGCAATACATGCCTGGGTGGTAGGCTTTGCCGCAATAAATGCCAGTGTGGAAGGCTGTGCCGCAATACATGCCTTTGAGGTAGGCTGTGAAGACTGCGCTTATAATCGCATGTCAATGTGTATTATGTATGTTTTAATTTGACCTTTCAGTCATCCAGGAAAACTTTAAACTTACCCAACCCAGGACAGTGTTGACATTTGCCATCATTATTCTTAACTCCATTAAACTGCGGCTGCTCCGCGTGCGTCCGCCGTACTCTGTCGTTAGCACGGCGACCTGTCGACAGCGCTGCGGCAAGGCTGGTCGTTCACCAAACTCTGACCGCTCCTGACATCGCGAGGAAATGAATGTCAATACCGCTGTGACCAGCGCACCGAGTTGGATGACCCTTGACCTCTCGGTGGCCCATTTTCCGTGGTGTGACACTGCCGGACGGGGCGACGCCGACGCGCCCGACGCGCCAGAGACGGATGGAGATGGCCTCAGACGGGACGGGATCACCCGCGCGGGACACGTCAGGAGGACGGGGAACCGGTGTCCGTGTCGGGAGCAGCACGCAGGTGACGTTATCGGTGGAAGAGGTAACAGATGTGATATCGGTGGAGGAATCAATATGAGCCAGAGCGAGTTGTTCGAAAAGTGGATTTTTTATTATTTGCTTATGATGAATGAAGTTGATTATGATCAGTCACCATATACAACTGTGACTTGAACTTCACCACCACGCCAGCACCGGTCATTTCCAGTAGTTCAGTGTTACCTCAATGGCATCAAACTACACAAATATCTCATGTGCTTGTTTGAAAGTAGGTTTAACCCTCGCATGTGTGCGGCGTTTGCCAGCTTCTAATGTGTAGGGGGGGGGTCGGTTGGACCCCCCCTTGCCGTTTGGCCCCTGATCGAGCTAGAGCTTCGCGGAAAAAAACGAGCGTGTTGCCCGTGACGAGAGGAAGCCGATGATACCCAATTTTAAGGTCCTAGGTCATTGGTTGACCTTCCAGGTCAGGTCAATGACCCAAAGTCGGGAAAATCGGGACCTGTTAGAAAGTCGTAAAGTGTGGATGCTAAGGGTTTTTTCGGGGTGCTGATCACGAATATCGTGTTAGATTTGATCACAGATGATGTCTTGAAGCATTTAGACCAGGTCGGGTCAGGTCAGGTCAGGTCAACCAGTAGGCGTCGTGACGGGTATTCGTAGTACGTGTCAACCGCCTCTGACAGCTTCGTAACATGTTACGAAGTCACCAAAACTACTTCGTAAATGTTCAAATGGTTGCTAAATTCGAATTCAGCTCCAAGAACTAGCCTAAAAACATGTAAAACTCGAAAAAGTGACCCGAGGTCACCCGAGGTCACCAAAGGTCAATGACCTGACCTGACCTTCAGGTGACCTTGACACACACGGGAGTAACATCAAATCACATGTTTGAACGTTTGAAACCACGAAAAGCTTGCAAACACGCGGCTAGTGCGAGCCGACATACGCGAAATCGCGATTCCGGCCAAACATGGTCTCGGAAAAGAGGTCACAGGTCAAAGGTCATTTGGGTCAGGGTCATGAAATTTTCAGGGTAGGTTTAAAATTGATCAATGCGAGGGTACTGAAAGTTTCGTCGCGATCGGCCGCTTTTTTACGCGAGTTATTCGCGAAAAACCATGGGGGGTCCATCCGACCCCCCCCCCCCCTACACATGCGAAGGTTAATGCATTCTTCACGCCGGGATTAAAGGATTAAAGCCTAAAGGTGTCTTCAGAAGGGCATTGTGATGCGCATGTTACGCGTTTCACTCACGTGTTTCGGAATTGAAGCCTTGCGGAACGACCGAAGAATATCCTGCCTTCATCACGACTGACAGCTCCATCAGGCCAAATCACTGGAACAGGATTAGCTCTTAGGAGATCGCGTTTTATGATTCACCATCCATTTCGCACTGAGGCGTACTATTCCATTTGTTGTTTCGCCTGAGGAAATAAATGATGTCCTTTGAAGTTGAACGTAACGTAGGCGGCTACTTTATTTCGAAATAACTAACTCAGACAAATGCTTTGGTACTCGCAGATCTCGTTTCAAAGTTAAGGGAATTCACAACTGACATGCATTGACGGATTAGGTATACGGATATTTCTTTTTCGACGTCAAGCAAATGTTCTTATATTAAGTCCGCAAGCAGATCGCTTGGTAGGGAGTAAGCATGACTATTGCATAGGTGCACATGTGTGGCGGAACCTTTATTATAGTACAATCTGCGCATCGTTAGATTTTTGTGTTGTTTGAGTGGTTGTGCAGTTGGGAGGAGGAGTGTGAGGAGAGTGGTTGCACCACCGCTATTTTTGTTCGGATGCTTGTTGAATTTGTTTCGTTCGAGTCTTGCACAACCAAGCTTATTTGGTAGGCACCAAAGCTATTTTTGGTAGCAAAACTAATTTACCGTGTGTTCATCGAGAGACTGGTTGTATAGTTGCCCACTAGGCACGGTGCAAAATGTACCTAAAGATGTTATGTAAGTTTTCTAGCCGGTAATGTTTATTTTTTATCGATTAGTTAGGCATTTATTTATTTTTATGTTATTTTATTTTATTGATTCAACTCACTGGTCGAACAGCCCGGTCAATGTCGTGACATTCCTCCGTCTGTCTCGGGCTATGCTTTATTCTTCCAGAGCACCAGAACATTTCCAATCTGACACGTCTTCGCTCTGATCGGGATATATCCGACTCTTTGTACTGCAAGAGGGCACGGGACTATTGTCAACAACCGAAGCTTTATTGACTGCAGTATCCGTGTCTCATCCGGTCGTGTCAGGGTTATACCACCTCAGTCAGTTCCGTCCTATCCAGAACAGCACATCTATCTCATTGGCCGCCTCGTCCTAACGAGGCAGCAAAGACTCGTCCTACCCATAAGCCACTTTGTACTGCGGACTAACAGTTTAAGCCTCGCATAGCGCAGGTCTGTAAAATAAATAACGCAGTATACCTATCACTGCATCCCCCAGCTCTTCTCAAGGTCAGCTCATGACCGTGTCGTTCCCCGCGCTCACGCCCGTCTCTCTCCCCCGGCAGTGTACCTGGACGACCCGAGTGTGTGTAACGGCACCATCCACCTACACGACGGGCTACCGGCGGTGTTGGTGAGGCTCTCACCGGGACAGCTCACCCGGCCGCTCACCTGCTCCGTGCAGATCGAGATCGCCAATAGCCCCATCGGTGAGAAAAAACAACAGCGTGACCGTGGCCCAATGTTTCGAAACAGTCACCACTTTATACATACAACTCAACTCATTATCTAACATTTCATGCAACTCATTATCATCGCTTATTTGTTTAGGTTCGTTTAATATAGGTATTTATCCTCTTCGGTGTGTCCTCATTGCTAGGATTCGAGTACGTTCTGTTCAGTTGCTATGCATAATGGTATAAATGAATGCTCAGGATTGCTCATATGTTATATGTTGGAATAAAAAAATATTTGATGAAGCAAAAATTCAAAGCTACGATGCTAGCTTTATAGAATCTCGAATATATTTGAAAAATGTCCTGACAGACAAAACATTTAAGGTAAGAGTAGGGGAAGTTGGGGGAACGCCGAAGACTTTTTTTCTGACGCCCGTAGCACGCAAGGTAGACAACATAAGCTATTCTTGTTGGCGTCATTCGAGAGGCCAGTCTTTTGCCTTTCAAACATACCAGGCGCATTTGATGAATTTGCATACCGTTAAGCGCACAAACTAAAAATATCAAAGAAGTGACTTTTTCGGCGTTGCCCCGGACTGCGGGGAAAGCCGAAAATGGGAGAAATGATCTACGGGGAATGCCGACATTGATGTTTTGCCATTTTATCTCAAACTTTATCCAGAATTGATCAAAGCTGACACGCGTTTTAAGAGCTTGAGGACGCGGTGCACACTGGAAGTTATAATTGTGTGATATAATAAGAACATGCCAGGTAAATCATTCCTTATAGGTAACAGGCCGTTGTGTCGGTTGAAAGTGTAATTTGTGTGACTTAAAATACGCGTTGCTATTCTACAGCAGTAAAGTCCACGTAGCGTGCTTTTAACACGTGCGTAAACGCACGTTTTCGGCATTACCCCAGCCTGCCATACTTTCATTTGCAGGCCCATAATTTTTCAACGTGCTGTATAAATTTCAAATAGGCAGCACACTTATGCAAAGACATGCTAAAGATTACTTGACCGAATTGGCCAGACAAACTGTAGCATAATGATTAAGAAATGCAGCTTCAAAGGCGCATGTAGTACAAGGGAAACGTACCTTGAAAACGCTCTTGGCGCCCTCACAGTCGAAGTATTCCGAATGACGACTCGTAACAAACATGCGATAATTGTAGTCACTTAAGCTTCAGAGCATCACTGACAGGTGGCATCCATGTCTTACGGTTTTCGAAATATGTCGAATTTCGGCTTTGCCCCAACTCCGGCATTGCCCCAACTTCCCCTACATCGTCGTTGTGACTCTGTGTCTAACATTGGACCGTTGCGACAGCCGGGGGTCTCTCCGCCGTGGTGCAGGAGCTCAGCGTGGGCAAGTTTGACGACCCGAACAACTGCACCAGCTTTCTGAAGGTCAGTGGCACCGGGAAGGGCCCCGGTGGAACGGTCAGGGGCGGGTGGATGGTCGGTGGGACCAGCGACAGGCGTCAATGGCGCCAGCTATCGGTCAGCAGTGGTAAAGGGCGCCGCAGTTCGGACGGCCAGCAGAAGCCAGCGGGTCACCGGGAACGGTTTCGCGGAGTCCTCTCTCCATTAACGTCCTCGATCCGGTGGCACCAGGCCACGAACGACACCGACACCGTGACCTTTAGCCATATTGTAATTATAAAACTGGAGCCAATTCGGCCGACGGTACGGTTTTTATTTACAGGGTGAGCCATAAAGAATTACCCATCGATAAATTCATTTTATTTCTAAACGGGTTGGCCTAGATATGCCATCTTTTGCATACATGTCTCAAATTTGTCTCCAATCCTGACAGGGTAACTCTTTTTGTATATGCTCGTCGACTGGCTCTGCTACGCTCCTGAAATGGGAGGTCGTCTTAACGCACATCCGCCGCTCCTGAAATTCAGGAATCACCACTGAGTGTTGGCTGCTGAACACCCTTTGGTCTAAAGAATGCTGGACACAATTTATCCCCGAGTTCAGCCCCACGGGCTTCCCAAACTAAAATATCCTAAAAACCCGACTCTACCGAGTCCCTGAAACACCGCAAATGACATACGGCGCAGCATTGTTATAGCATGGGTGATCGAGGAAAATAAGTGAAAAGACGGTGCGGCGGCCGCGTGCCATAGTGCTCTCACGTCTCGGGCGCGTAACATAAGGAGAATGCGAGCATACAGAAAACAGACTACATTTATTAGTTAGGAGATGACGTTGTTATAGACCTATGTAAAAGATGAAATAGCTATGTCAGCTTGCCTTGAAACAAAGTGAAATTTTCGATGGGTAAATCTTTATGGCTCACCCTGTATAGAAGCCCGATAGCTGCTCGATGTTCCATGTACAATTGCTCCATATAACCTAGGAGTCCCATTCTGCAGAGATTCATTCGGTGCTATGCTATATATAACCGTACATAACCGCAAAATACAGACAAGATTGACTTATTTGCCGTCGCCTGTTACTACCATTGGGATTCTTGCGCGGAAAAAAATAATAGTAATGCGAGGTCTCCGATCGGCAGATATTGGACGGTGCGTGCGTACGCGGAATGCCACTGAGCCCCTATATCAGTGATATTTGTGTACCATGAGCGGACACATCCTGACATTGGTGACGCCGGTCTGTCAGATGATCTGCGTTCATATACGCATAGGCACATCTGCATAATCGCGCATGTCATACCTACATACCTACGTTACATTACAGCCACACGTCATTCGTTGGTAATCTGCACCTTCGTGGTTATTCCCTTCAGGTCACAGATATTAGCTGCTGTGCCGGCAGTGGCCGGGTCGGAGTAAAACCGTGTCGTGACACTGGGAACTGTGGGAATTAGTGTCACAATGAAATTAAACTCTGAGCGGAGCGAGGTTCTGCGAATGTCAAGGACAGAAAGGAGCATTAGCATTACTTCTATGCTGTGTCAGTGGGTAAATTATTTCACCAAACAACGAGCGATTACTCTAGCCAGGTCATCGGAGCCGTTGGTTTTAACTCTGGTCCATAAATCAGCATATAAGAATTAGCATAAACGTATGCGGAATTACAATGCAAGTACAAGATTGTGATATTACTCGCAAACGAACTGCTCAGTGCTCACTTTGGGCCTTGGAATTCCATTGAGACGGAATCAGTTCAGTCTCCATAGTCCATTCTACCCTGGGGCCCCGTTTTCTTGTGTAAGTACGTTGGCGTCTATGTCTGTGATTCAGATTTGAGCCTCTGTCTGTCTGTCTACACATCTGTTTCGTAGATACTGAGTCATCTTTATGCTTCTGAATCATCAAGATGCCCTAGCCCTAGTTTCCCAGTTTCTCAAATTGAGTTGACAACCGTGGACCCTGTCATACGATTCCACGCTCTCTGTTTCCTCCGAACCCCGAGCTGAGCCCTCCTATATGGCACGCTCCGGCCCGTCCCGCAGCTCGGGCCATCGAGCTGTCGCCGAGCTGCGCGCCGCTCGTTCAGACGAGCTTCCGAGCGTTCCGGGAACGGTGCGACTGTAATCGTGTCGCCATCGTGTCGACAGCCGGCGGCCGGAACGACTCCGCCGCGGCGCCCGCCGAGCCGGTGTCACGTCCGACCGCGCGCGGGTCGTGGTGTAGAGGTCACATTTCAGCAGTGGATGTCGGCATACAGCCGTGCGGAGTCGTTCATTAGACGCGGTAGCCGGCTGGTGCGAAACGGTGACGGCTGGGGTCATTATGCTAACGCCTTTCGTTATTGAATGTATGCGGTCGGTAGGCAGGTCATGGTCGCTTGTTTCGAGGCAGGCTGATGAAATTAGAGCGCTGCAGGGACGCCCAAATGAGTCGTTCCGACGATATTAGCGTGGAGTTTGAATAGGCTGTTTCAAAACATTGCATGTTTGAGAGGCACTCCACCTGATCCGTTTGTTATTAGAAGAGCTTATACTAGTTACAGCTGTATATCTGGCGATCTCGGACTGGTAAATAAACGGCCGGGCGGATCTAACGAAGCCTGCTGTGCCGTAGCTCACAGATGTATTGCGGCACAGCATACCTCACACGAGACATGCGTACAGGGACCCGCAGTTGCTTCTGTACACACTAGTATTTCAGCGTATTCTTTGCCTGTGACACCGTTGGAGGCGAATTGGGAAATGATTGTGTGCTTATTAAAACCACCATCTGAAGGGCTTTAAACTGATGTGCTGCTCTCCTAATTCAGTGAACTTTTTATGGCTATATCAGCAAAACATTGTTTTCAGCGCTTTTTCCTGCCCCATTCCTTCTGAAACCTGGAACCGCTTATTCCATTTACTCCTGCCATCTGACGATGGTCGTGCTAACTACTAGTTCCGGCGCTAGTTACTGCTCCAGTTTTGCACCCGGCACAAACTCAGGCGGCACCGGGCTGTGGCTCGACCAGGGGAGGGTCGGACCGAGCCGACTGCCTGGGGCGCGGTTAGATCGGACGCCCTGCTGGGGAAGGGGACGGGAGTGAGGGGGAGGGGAGGATGTGGTCACGTGGTCCGTCCAAGCTCGCAGACGGCCTGTCCTGCGCCCAGCCATGTTCCGTGATCCAAAATGGCACGAGAGCTGTGGAATGCCTGGAGGAGAAGCTTCGAAAGCGAACTTCAGCAGCACTAATTTACCATATTCTGTGGAGGTAAATGAATATTATCTTAATGCAGAAAAAATTGTATGCCTAAGCTGTATGAGCTGTATCTTTTTAAAAGTTGTAAATAGGATTATTTTTGGGGACTTATAGGTTTCGTATACACAGTGAATTGTGTTACATTAAGCCGTTTTGCTGTTATGGTTACTAACTGAAGAGTTATCCTTTTTTCACAGGGAATGACAATACAATAACAATACGAATAAAACCAGACGTTTTGCACAAAAAAGTGCCTCCGTCAGTGGCAAGAAATAAGTAATCAGGCATACATATTTTCCTTCGATAAAATCGATGAAGTAGTTATCTTTATTTTTTAAGATATATTTTCAGCAGTTTTTTAAGCACATCATGGAAGCTTATAAACATTTGTGTATTTTATCGGCAACCCGGCTGGCCAGACCGAGACGGTGCCGCATATAGTTCTCATCGATGTTAAACCTATGCACTTATTTTTCTCCACTGACGAAGGCACGTTGTTGTCCGAAACGTTTGGTTCTATTCGCATTGTTCTTCTATTGTCATTGTCCGTGAGAAAAACATACTCATATGGACTGCAGTCTCAGTTCATGTAGACTCTAGAAATTGTTGCACATTCATCAACACAGATAAAATGAATATTAGCCCTCACCACACATATAAGTCGAGGTAAGTAGACCGCGCCCCCTGTTTTCACCAATAAATCGCGGCAAAGCGAAGGATTGCGACGATTCTTTGGTGCCCTGGAGTTAATCAATTTTACAACTTCCCGGAAAATTAAATAGCCCTTATCATTTTTGCATCTTGTCTGAGAATTTTAAATCCCTGAACCAAATTGCCTTTACCCTTTGATTATTTTTCTCAAGATCATGTCAGGCGAGAATAGCAACTGAAAGTCAGCGCACATCTTCTGTGTGTTTCCATAATCGTTTCGTGATTAGCAACGTGACAACATGTGAAATATGCTAGGTATCTAATGTTTGTCTCATTGATTGTTGTAGGTGCCAAGGTCACGTGAAGCTCAGGTTAAGGTCATTTACTTGAAATAATATCGGTTAACTTCCTTAAATTTACACCTTTTTACTGTAGTTTTTAGGAAGTGTTGGTTTGAAATTTAGCACTCATTTTAGCATTTGAAAACTAAGCATACTTAGGTATCAGTTATAGTGCCTATGCAATATGTTGCAAGGCTGTAAGTGCTGGCTAACATTCTATGGATAGCCGGCAGAACTCCTAATGGGTGACCTGGCGTGACCCGTCCTACCCTAAATGCTTCGATACATCATCTTTGATCAAAGCAAGTGCAAATTCGGAGTCAGAAGCAAGCCAAGCCCCAGCAAACTTCACTTGTATAAATTCTAGCAGGACCCAATTTTCCGTGCTTTTGGGTTATTAACCTGATCTGGGAGGTCAACCAGTGACCTAGAATCTCAGCATTGACCAGAACATAAAAATAATTGGCTTTCTCTCGTCAGCGATGACCAGGACCCTCCAATCATCGGATTTCTCTCGTCACGAGCAGCTCGCTCTTTTTGTATTTTTCAGCGAAGCTCTGGCTATTTTTACCAAGGGCCGAATGGCTGAGGGTTTCTACGTCCATCCGCTACATGTAAGACGCTGAAAAGAAATGCCTAAGTGGGTGAGGGTTAAATATCGATTGGTTTTTAAGTGCCAAAGCCCGAAGCACTTTAATTTACTTCGATAGCAGTTTTAAGACCAACGAGCTCGAATACTATAACTTCTTGAACAATGTAAGCACCACATAAAATGAATCGTAAGACTAC